AGAGAGAGAGAAAGAGAGAGAGAGAGAGAGAGAGAGAGAGAGAGAGAGAGAGAGAGATTTATATATGTATATATGCGTGTATTTTAGGCCTATATTAAAATTTGTTTCGGTTAAAGTGCGGCACATGTGGCACAGTTGCGACCCTAAGGATGTCTTGCCATAGCCTCAGCATACACACACACACACATATCTATATCCACACATGATCGGAAATACGTTGCATGGAACCTGTTTAAACAGATTTTTCGTTTCATTTCGTTTCGTCTTAGAGACAAGATTCTAAAATTAACCAAATGCGTCGCCTGTGTGGGGTGCACACTGTAGTTCGGATCGTGTCATATTGGCCTCTAATAGCACACAAATAAACAGCAGCATAAAAACCATCTGAAATGCGTTTTTTCCCTCGTTGTCGTAATTTATGAATTTATGTGCATCCAATATTAAAACAATTGAAAGGAGCCCGCGCGTAAACAAAGAAGTGAGAATAGCTCACAGAACTTGGGTGTATTTAGGGCTATCCTTATGTGTGTGTGGGCAACACAGGTGTTGTCTGCTCCAAGGACAATAAATTCTGTAGGTAATTCTAAAGGAAATAAAAGGAGAGTAAGTAGAAGAGACCTATAATGTCATAAAAGGGAGTTACTACAGTTATTTGATTGTTAAATTGTGATGGCTCAGCTGGATTTGCCACGCCTAGTATTATGGCGAATGATTCTATTGACTCCATTGAGTCGCGCTTATACATATTCCTAATTTTTAGTCTAAAGCAGCAGACATAGTGTACCCGAAGTATTACTCCCAAAGTAGGGATTCATATTTCCAGTCTCTAGATTGTGCATCCGCGATTTCTTTGCGTTGCTTCAGAGAGCAGAACTGGAATAGCCAATATACCCTTCCTATTTTGCGAATGCGTATATACCAAAATATTTTATAAATTACGTAGTATACCCAATTCGTTATGCCAATCAAATTATAACACGACAGTACCAAGAAGTCGGAGCTATCAATTTCATTTATTTAGCTTCAGTCGAACTGACAGTAGGATAGGATATGCCAATATACTCTTCTCACTCTATGAAGGAGTATAAAGCCAATTATGCAATCAACATTTCGCTTAAAAATTTGTTGGGTAATGAAAATAATTACATAAGTAGCAGGAAGGCGGCTTCAAGTGTAATTAAAAACTTTATATATTACGTAAATTAGTCGCAAATTAATTATACTCCAAGGGTCTAGCATTAGGAGATGACTGAAACGACTTCTC